CCGCTGAGGTTCTCTAGTGGAGGGGAAAGAAGAGTTCCATCCAGCCCGGCCATCCTTCTGCAGTGGCAGGCAAGAGTAGCTAGGTTGTTGCAGTGGTGTAGGCACAGAACGGGCCAGCTTCCATGTGTTCCTGACTCTTGTCTTGTCCCATTCCCAGGCAAGGAGCCTGGCTTGTTTGACCTGGTGATCATCAATGACAACTTGGATGCAGCCTATGCAACATTGAAGCAGGCGCTCTCCGAGGTGGGCCCCTCCCCACCTGTCCTGTCTTGGAGCGGTCCCCTGCACAAGCTGTCCCACGAGTCCAGCAAACCCTGCTGAGGCCAGGGCTCACCCCGTGGCGCACTCGAAGCAGCTGAGGCTCTGAGTACAGGCGCAAAGTCCAAGAGTCCCTGGGGGCCAGGGGAGGGCATGACACCAGCCCTCCCTGGTTCCCTGCCTCTCCTGACTTTCTGTTTTGCTTCTTCTTTGGCAGGAAATCAAGAAAGCTCAAGGAACTGGCCATGCCTGAGGGCCTGCTTCATTCCAGAGTGCTGCCTGTGCCCCACATATGCTTGGGTTATGAGGTGGGGTGGTCTTTGCCAGGGCACCAAGGACTTGTAATAGGCTTCCGCTGTGGAGTAGGAGGAGCTGCCCCTTGTCTGGCCACATGGTGGCTCTTCACCCTGTACTGACTTGCCGAGGCTAAAGGACTACGCTATGTACCCACACCTGTCCTCCCTGGGCTGTCCCTGTCCATACCCCTGTCCCTCCTGCTGGAGCAGGACTGACATTCTAATAAAGTAACTATTGGGTTAGAGTGTCACAGCCTTCCACACTGGGCTACGACCCTTGGCTGCCCACCCCTACCTGGTCAGCCCATATGAAGCTGCCAGGGGGCTTCTGCATAGGTGTCTGGTGGCCCCTGTTGCTGCTCATATCCAGGGTCCACCGGTCATCAGAATGCTAACTAGGGTTGATTGTGGTCACTTCTTCCCCTGGGAGCCCGACAACTGGGACAACCAGCATGGTTGGAATGGGGCTCAGCCCCGGAGAACCTGGTACTGCTGCCTTTCTGAGCTATCTGGGGACTCAGGGCGGCAGGCACCACTGGCCAGGAAGGAAAGTGCCCGGCCACAGGGGAAGGGCATGAAGAGTCATAACGCTGGCCCTGGAACCTATGGGTGCTGTGTGCGCCTGTCCTTGTGTAGAGCCAGCCAAGCCCCGTCTGGGCTAGTAGAGGGGCAGAGCCTGGGACCTTTGTAGAGGTTCTAGATCTGAGCTCTAGAGCTTGTAGCGGGGTGCATCAGTCCTGAGGGAGAGGTCTAAGTTGAGGGTGGCTGTCCCCCCCTCCTGCCCAAGATGAGACATTCTGAGTGTCTGAGTCCTGCTGTCCTCCCCTCTTCCTCTGGGCTCTCAGCCCAGGCTGCCTGGCTCCGCCCAAGAGAGCAATCCCTGCCGTGAGGGCAGTGGTTGTTGCCAGCTACCCCCACCCGGTGGCCAGCCACAGCTCTCCCTTGTGCATCTCCAGGTGAGGCCGCTCCTGGGACAGGAGGACTTGGGCAGATTAGGTGGATGTGGGTGTGAAGAGGACAGGCAGGTGCCCAGGCAGAAGTAGCCAGAGAGACCGGGGAGCCCTGGGCTGCCTCCAAAAGTACAGATGTTTCTCAAGAAGGGTGAGCCAGAACTTTCTGGACCTCAAGTGAAGGCTGGGGAAGAGAGGGCCAGGACCTGCCTGGGCCCCCAGCAGGCCTGTCCAGCTCCTCGCTGCTCCACCCCCAGGGACAATCATGGATTCAGACCCTGGGGGGAACAATGGAGCCCTTGAGGGCCCCTCCTCCATCCCCCATTGTGCTTGGTGGCGAGAGGTAGCCCTAGCCCGGCAGTATGCCCCTAGAGAGGACCAGCATCCAGCCGGCAGGTGGAAGGCCTCAGCCAGAGGCTTGCATTTCCAGCCTGGAAAAGGTAGGGAGGGCACCACTGGGGTTGCAGATAGGCAGGGCCTTGGCTGCTCTCTACTCTGATGGCTAACGTGGAGTTTTCCAGGCTCCTGTGTCCTCGCTGGCCTCTCAGGTTCTGTGGGGGGTGCCACAGGCAGCGCTACTCTGGGAAACTCACTGGAGCTCTGGCTAGACCTTGTCTCACTGGATTAATGGACCCCTGGGGTGTCCATCAGCTTGGGTCCAGCTGGCTTCGGAGCTCTTTTTGGGTAACTAGACCCATGGTGGGGGGAGATGGGAATTAACCAGTGAGCCCAGGGTGCACTCAGTACCTCCCCAGCAGCTGAGACCCCTCAGGCTGTTGTAAGATGGGCCAGTCCACCCCAGCCAGTTGTAGTATGTCCAGGGGGTCAGAATGGGCACCAGGCCCAGTCTACTCAAACTGAACAAACTTCATTACCCACTTGCCTGCTGCCAAGCAGACCCTCTCAGCAGCTGGACCTGCGTAGCTGCTGATGAGTCAGTACGGCCCTGTAACTGGCATAGAAGTTTGTTCTAAGTGTTTCCCCACCTGCCTGCTATGTCCAGGGACTGCAGAGAGGGAGATGTGAGGATGGGTAGCCAAAAGAGGAGGGCTTAGAAAGTCC